AAAAATAAATTTGATTAACTCAATTTAAAAATAAATCCATTGATCAATACATGATTCTATTTCAAAAATTACTTATTATTATTATTATTTTATGTTAGGGTATTTCAAAATCAGTTTTTATACACCTTCAAATTAATCTTACAATCTTAGAGGCATAACTTCCACGTTAGTAGAAATAAATTGTGTATGTCTTATTTTCATAAATTTAGAAGGCAAATTTAGCTTGGTGACATGGAACTTGTGAGGTCCACAATTGAAATTCATCAAAAATAATAATAAATTAATGGATGAATAGAGATTTAACGGCAAAAAAATTCTGTTACATTACCGTTAGTAATGGTGTTCGTTAGGTGTTAGGTGAGGGAATTAACTAGTATGAAAATTGAAAGTAGGGAGAGGACAATAATATGTTTTGAGAGAGTAAAAGGAGGTCTTTAAATGATATCAAAGTATAGGGAGGACAATGAACGAAAAATGAAAGTAGAGGGACTATAGTTGGCTTTAACCCTTTTAAATTCTGCTTACCTTTATACTCTCAAAACATCTTTGCGTAAGGAATCTAATAATATATAATTAATAAAAAAATTTATATGAAAATTTTCAAGAAAAAATAAATAAACAAAATAAACTTGTATTATATAGGTATACATATCAAATATAACATCTCACCATTAATCTAATAATTGAATGCTTATAAAAAGTCTTGAGATAAACAAGTCAAAATGCAAACTAGATAATCTTGGGACAAAATAAGCATAACATCCAACTGGATAAACTGACACCGCCACAGAGTTCCATAGGTAACAACTTTCTAGTGGATCAGTAAAATATGGTTGACAGGGAAGGCCACAGAAGGCTGCAGATCTCCTACTGTTGGGCACACTGCACTCTTGGCATTGAGTGCTCATCATCATCATCATCATCATCATCTTCCTCGTATGCTTCCCGCTGCCGCTGCTGCTGCTGCTGCTGCTGTGGCTTCCATCTAAACTCCTCCGTGTTGACATCACGCAAAGTAGTCTCTTCACATTGATCAAGCTCCATGTCTGTTAATCGCCTGTTTGGCTTTGGCGATAATATAGTCTCCAAGGTCCGACATTGCTCAGGTGAAAGAATTCCAGAATCTGGGAAATTAACATTGAAATGGATGTATAGCCTGCCTTTCATGAAAGGTCTTTGATGGTGTGGCATTCCCTCATCATTGATTGCTTTGTTTTGACCTGCACAGTGCACAGGTGAGGAAATAAGTCAATGGAGGATCACATGGAACAACAGGTTTTGAGAATGAACAAAAGATATGTGAAGAAAATGAAAAATAAACTAAGCCAGAAATAATACCAGGCTTGATGACCTCGCCAGGGTTTGATTTAACAAGAAGCTGCCTGCCATCCAGATGAGTTAAGGCAAACTGAAACCCACAGAGAGCCTCTGTTAAACTGATGTTGTGTTTTACATGGAGATCATCATACTGTCTCTCAAATCTGGTGTGACTCTTCTCTTGCAATACAAAGACAATGTCCCCTGTAACAGTATCCGGCTGCAGAGATAAAAAGATGGCATAAAATGTTTGTCTTTATGAAATTTCATGACATGGAACATTAGAAAAGTAAAACTTTACTTACTGCCAGGTAAGATTGAATTAAAAATAGCCTGGTCAAAATGCTTAATATCCAAAACCATGAAAATTTACTTACAGCTTCATCAGCTTGTCCGTCAAACACAATTTTCTGGCCATTGCGCATCCCTTTCTCAACATGCACCTCCAGCACCTTCCTTTCCTGAATTACCTTGTTTCCTTTGCATTGTGTGCATCTGTCTCTCTCGTTGATTACCTCTCCTGAAATTATAAAGAATTCAAGATGAAATCTAGGTCTACAAACAAATACACGCATATGCATATAAAATAAGCAGAGTAAATTAAGTACCTGAGCCTCTACATTCAGGACAGACATGCTGCATCTGTTGGATCATGCCCAACCCAATTTGTCTTGTAGTAATTTTCATTCCTGACCCCTGGCATCCATAACAGCTAGTAGAGGCACCACTCTTTGAACCTTTACTGAAATAATTAAAAGCAGATAACAGGTTACTCACAATCACAAATAAAAGTTCCTTCCATATCAGATCCTCTGGCCTCTTTGGCTGACCAGACTAAAATAGACACATGCAAAATCAGTGATTAAGAGAATTAATGTTGTCTGTAAATCTTTTATATATAGTTCAGAATGAGCTGTTACGAGCCATAAAGCACCATACAGCAACACTCCAAAGAATCATTCAACATTATTACAAGCCAATACTCTAATGGGCTGTGATAAAGGAGATACCCTTTACATTTAGGGCACAGAGCATTTCTCGAAAGTGAAAGTTTCTTTGTTGTACCATTGTACAACTCTTCTAGGGAAGCTTTTAGGGTATGCACGACATCTTCACCTTGCTTCTGCCTTCTTCCCCTTGAGCTAGCACCACCTATATTTTTAAAACACATGTGACAAACAAATGCAAAAAAACTTTGCCCCAAAGGCTAAGAGAAAAAACTCAGAAAATAAAAGAGAAAAGAAGGTTCAAAAAGCTGTTTCTCACCACCAAAGGATCCTCCACCAAAGCCTCCACCACCAAAGAACGTTTCAAATATATCAAATGGGCTGTGAGAAGGACCACCTCCTCCCATTCCCTCTTTAAGAGCATCTACACCATATTGATCATATATTTCTCTTTTATCTGGATCGCTGAGAACCTCATAAGCTTCACCCAATTCCTTAAACTGATAGAAAGTAACATAAAATAAGTATCAAAAATGGTGGAATAGAGAAAACCTTTGACAAAAATCAAGGCATGCCCTGCACAAGTACTAGTCTGTCTAATCCACCTATACTCAAACCTTGTTTCTTGCAAGCAGATACATCAGAAGACATGGATTTCAAGAATATGCAGAAACTCTAACAACTCACTTTCTCAGGATCTCCACCTTTGTCAGGATGATTCTTCATGGCAGCCTTCCTGTATGCCTTCTTCAATTCATCTTGACTTGCACTTTTTGAAACACCAAGAATCTCATAATACTTGGTGTTATCGCTCTTCTTTGGGACACGACCAAACATGATTGAAGAGGTTCAATAACAATTCACAAGCGATGGGAAAGCAATCCAGCAAGTGAACACCAATAATCTGACAAAAAAGAGGGAAAAGCCATTGTAAGAAAAACAAACAAAAACACAGAAGCAATATCCCACTAAAGCATGTGTTGGATTCTGTTCAGTAATCAAAAAGACAAAAGCCAAAAAACCATCTCAATGTCAAGCAAAAAATATCAGCTTTTCATTTGAAAATTTCAAGTACCATCTCAAACACTCTTGTTCGTGTCCGTAAAACAGAACAACTCATATGAAATGCAAGTCTGATGGAAATTACAGCCAGAAACCTAAACAAAAACTCAGACTTTCTGCCTCTAACAATATAGTTCAGATGACATAAAAAAAAATGACATAATTTCTCTAGGAACCAATCAACATACAGCTTCTATACAAGCTAAAACAACATTATCTCAACATAAAACAACCAGCATGATCGAACAAACAATCTGGAACTGATGTATAATTCATATAAATGACCAACCACCACAAGTTCAACTTAATTTGAGATAATGGGACATTTTTAACCACAAAAAAAAACGAGCTCATCCTAAATAAATTTCTACAATCGGTAAAACAAAGAACCCACAGACATCACAAACAAATAATCAGGAATTAACTGATAAACTCAAAACCCTAAGGCCAAGAAACACTTCGAAAACTAAATTGAACACAATTTCTCAGCGAATCTAACTAAGAACAAGCTGCTAAAAGCATAGAAAAGCAAGGAAATATCAAGGATCGGAAGCGAAAGCAAGAAGATTACAGATCGCCGCCGGAGACAGGAAAGCTTGAGAGAGAAATTCTTTCTCAAGACTTTCCACACTGGAATAGGGAAGAAGTTGTTTCCCAAGAGAAGCAAAACAGTGTTTTATAGTTTTTATGTCCACACCGATTTTTTTTTCTGCTTCCAGGGTTTAGCAGTGCTCGAGTATGACTGTGGAAGCAGCAAAAAAGGGTACGTGGGAATAGTATTTCGTTGTACAGAGAGGGATATGATATCCTGGGGACAAACACGGTAGTTTTTTATTGGTCCACGTGTCACGCATCTCGAGGATGTAGCGAGTCCCTGCCGCTCATTGGTATTAACCGGCTGCTCCGAATCAAACAGACAGTTAACTTGGTTTTAACCTTAATGGTTCGATTCAAACTTTAAGTATTTGGATGAGATAGTTAGAATTTTAAATTTTATCATTGTAAACTTCGTCAAAAAGTGATCTGATGATCGCGCGCTTCATTTGAGGGATGAAATATTTACTCGATCTGTGAATCGAATCTCTAGTTGCCAACCACTAATTCAAACTAATTTCTTAATTATTACTTTTATTTAAAAAAAAAAAAGAAAAAAAGCAGACAGTGCGCCCCATACGACGCGTTTTACTCGGCCCCGCCTGTGTAATTCACTGCTGGCAGATATGTAATTGAGTTTTTTTTGTTTTGTTCTCAAAGATTGCAAGAAGTAAACGAATTATAATTTGATAGGGAGAGAGTATCAACATCAAAGTTTCGACTTTTATTTAATGATTTAAGGTATATAATTTATTAATAATTTAAATAATTTAATAATTTTTTTTCATTGAAAGAAACAATTTTTAAACTTGAATAGTATGATATGTGAGTAAAATAAAATAAAAAATAAATAATAATTATTTTATATTATACTATCAAAATAAAAAAATTATATAATTTAAATTATAAATATTAATTTTGTAAGTAATTTCTATTAAAAATCACCTATACAATTAATCTACATCCATTGCACTTGGGCATGAGAATTAGGTTCAAAGGACAAAAAGGAGAAGAGAGGGAGAGAGAGAGAGAGAGTTGAAACCCTCACCACATAAATGTTTCTTTACCAATAACATGACTAATTACAAACTTGCCTAGTTTGGTATCACAAGCTTGTCACCCAACAGAAGGCATTAAAGGTGAGTGGAAGGGATTGGAGACAAATCCCTGGATGGGGTTGATTTATTTATTTATATATTTATTATTTTTAGTTTAGTAATCAAATATTTTTGAATTAGTTTACATGCATTTTCAAATTAATTCTTTTTTTAATTACGTTAAAATAGGTTATTTATATTAAAATTAAAAAATTCATAAAAAATTATATTTTTATTAATTTTTTCAAAAAATTAATCCTTACTTAATAAGGTAAATAGATGAGATTGATAATGCTAATGGTATACCCCTAATCACACGTCCACAACTAGAGGAAGAATAATTAATTATTAAAAAAAGAAACGTTGCATCATCATCAAATTCATTGAATGATAAAGCTATAAATCAAAACTAATAAAACCCTAGTTGTATTTTGAATCAACAAATCAAATTAAGAACAGGGATTCAAACACATGCAATAATCAATTATTACTTGGAGATTAGGCATCAAACAATTTGATTCTTTGAAGTCAATAGCTCTTAATCAGAACTCCACCAAGCGGCTCGATAGTTCGCACACCTTATTGAGAGAGGTGAGATATTCAACAGATCTAGAATCGAATCTCCAGTTACTAACAACTAATAAAACTAACATACTAATAATTGTCTTTGTAAAAAAAAAACTCATAATCAATGCTACTCTTGATATATGCATATACAATATTTTTTGGCAATCAGAATTTCAGATGAATGCGAAAAATAACACAAGAAAAGAAATTATGCAACGTGAATTACATCACCACATTAGAGCCAAACAGACCTGATCAGAACTTCATCCCAAAACCAGGAAACAAATGGTCGAACTCCTTGGACCCTTTCTGGGATCGCTTTCTGGGTTGCCTCTTCAGTTTCACGCCGGAAACTGCCAGAATATCCGCTTCGATCTCTTCGTTCGAAAGCGCAAAGGAAAAGCGTCGCTTCTTTTGGTTCCTCTTCGCCGTTGCCGTCACTACTTTTGCTTTTGCCTTCAGTGTGTCTGGAACGACAATCCCTAACTGAGTGGCCTTGGGAGGACTCGGTGGTTGAGTGGGCTGTACCACGACCACCTCCAACGACTCTACCTTACAGTTCGCCTCTTGTGCCGACACTAAGGAGTCGGTGCCGACACCGTCTTCACCGGTATCTTTCTTCATTCGAAACCGCAACAACAACTTACGGCCACAAGGTTCCTCTGTCTTGTCCAAGGACGTCAGCGCGGGGAGATCAGCTTCCAGAGGGTAATCGGCGTTGAGGTGGTCGACGTGCGGTGATTGAGGAAGAAAACGGGAGGCCATTGACGCCAAGAGATTTTCGGGAAGCAAAATGCCTACGAAATTTGCTGGGAACTACCGCCCTCAGTCGAAATGAAGACTTTTCTTTTTATTCATATATATAGAGATTACATATATAATCTAAAGACCAAGTACGATTCGAACTCTTGACTTACATTGCACGCACAAGTGAAACAATGCCGTTTTAAAGAAAAAATATTACTACTGTACAGGTAACTAATTTTTTTTACTTCAGAACACCAAATATCTGAAAACCAATTGAATTACCAATTAATCTGGATTTAAATCAAACAAAACTTAACGGGCAGTAAGATTCAATGAGCGGTAAAACTCTCTATAATGAGTTTTAATAGAGCTACCTTCTTAAGGCTTAAAACTAAAATAATCCCTTACCGACTCATCCACCCACTTATAAATGTACATCTACCTACTTATAAATGTACTGGTAACTAATTAAGTATCCAAGGCATGATTGGATTCACTTGTGAATTTATTTTTTTTATTTTTTTTACTCAAGCAAAGCAAAATAAATTTATTTTTTTCTTCTTTATTTTAGTAGAAAGAAACCAGAAAGCAAGCGATGAAGCTCATGCTCCATTATCCCCGTGCCTAAAGAAAATCAATTACATCATGAATATCTTCAACTCAACAAAATATAAGAGGCATTTGTTTTAAAGGTTGGAAAATAACTATCATTTATTCACTCTAATTAAACGGTTCATATACTTTACATTATAAATAATAATAATTATTAACCATTAAATATTGACTATTAGCTAGCAATTGTATCAAAACAACTAATCCAAACACTCCTATAACTTTTGAGTCCCAAATGGATCAATCACTTCAAAAATATTGGACTGAATACTGAATATCCAGCAGTTACTGTGATCACTCAAGTGTGTATCAGACCTGCAATAGACCCAGAACAGAGGATTTTCAAAATTTTCATCCAGTTTCTTGATGGCAGACCTACCATTTTTGTCTCATTTCTCAAACCTTTGAACATTAAGTAGGGCATTGAGCTATCCTCCTACCCCACGACGAGCTATACACAATGTATTTCAAGGTTGAGCATATTCATGGCTGCCTCCTTTAATAGAATTTGCTTGTTCAGTTCTTCATTGGGATGCAGCCTGAGGCAATGCTGATTAACAAGGAAGCATTCTTTCAGATGGCTACCTTGTCTCTCTTGCGGTTTCAGAAACATGAGCTTCCAGCATACGCGGAGAAGCATTACTGCAAAAACACCACTTTTGGCTGTAAATAAGGTTCCCGTCTTGTATGGGCTGCGCTATGTGACAACAGTGATCCAGTTTTGAATTTTCATTGCTCTGCCAACGTGGAAATCAGACTTGATCTGCTGCAAACTGAAAATATGACAAAGATACAGTTATACACACGTGGAAAACTATTAAATAACATTCTCCAGCAAAGAATAACTATATAAGCACTCTAAATGAGAAACTATCACATAGGACCATTTAAGGAATGACAATTAGAACTAGTCAATGAAGATGTGACAATTGTAAGCCAGCTTGATGCCAAAATTCATACTTATGAACACATGCCTAATATAAGAATAATCTCTTTGCAACAGTTCAGGACTGGAAAACATAGACTGACTACACAACTTTAAACTAGCTACCAAAATTTTCAATAAAAACCATTCCTGATTGCACAAACCTAAGTAGCAGTAGTGCATGTAAGCAAGGTCTTAAATATCAATCAATCTGATGCAGTACTCTCTAGGTATCCTATAGCATACAAAGCATTTCTCGTAGAACATCAAATGATGAGAATAATCATTGTTTCCGTCAACCATTACATTACATTTGAGTGCCTACTTCAACAACACCAACTTCTAAACAAGTTTAAGGTCAAATGATGAACTAGTCGGTAACGTGCAGAAGTCATAATCTAGATGACAAGTGCAGCTTACTTGAATCAAACTTGCTTGTGTAGAAAAAAAAAAGGAAAAAAAGAGAGCAAAACTAAACACTAAATCTCAACCCATATGTGTTAAACTCAAGAGGAACTTGCCTCCATAACATGCACGTGCTCACACATACACACACGTGTGCACATGCACATATATATATAGATGCTAAATAGGTAAATTCCTTAATGCTAAACAAAGCAAGAATGATTTCAGCATTCACCAAATTTCTCTATAAACTTCAAGAATACAACTTTCTAAAATATGGGAACAGTTCAACTCACATGATGTCAGCACGGCTCTACTAGTTTCTTCTCTATGATGTTGGAATTCTAATTATCTAGAAGAGTACAACCAATCTATTTGGGTTCTACAAGACATATTCCCCTCAGACATTTCAGCCCATTCAATCCAACAAAGTTGCCACAAATCAGAATGCAATATTGTAGCTCAGACTGTTTAAAAAGGAAAGGAAACAAGGAAAAAATACTGAGACCATTGAAGGGTGTCGGTTTTCATAAATACATCCAAAGCCCAATAGTACATTTCCATATATAGATCTTCTCTAACCTTTTGGTAAGATAAAATAAACGTATTTTACCATACAGTGAAGGGGGAAATTCATGAGCTCACACACTCCCAATTCATAAACACAAAAGACCATGAAAAAAGAAACCATTAATCAATTGTAGATTAGCATCCTCTTCCTATGTGCCGGTAAATTAATTGCTTTAACCCAAGGTATTTGGCATCAGTATGATGAATTACCAGATGATCAAACACACACATCTCGATAGAAACTATTAATGGCATCCATCACTTGCATGCACTTCCAATAAGGCAAGTGAAACAAGACGTCTCTTTTTTTTTTTTTTTTTTTTTTTTTTTTGATTGGCATGTAAGACAAGACATTACATGATTCACTTGAGCATTGTGGTTCATCTCAAACCTGGGCCAGTAAACTAACCATTTTTGCTCTGATTAGTGCTTTCTAGAAGCACAAAAGAATGTAGAGATCAATATATGAAAGCCAAACAGGAGGGTAAATGCAACCATTCAGCTTTCCTAACATGTATTGCTAATACTATTCAGCCACCATTAACCCCCCTGTTTGGTTTGTGAAGGAAATGGAGGGGAAGGGAGATAATATCCTTCCATTTCCCTCCACTTACCTTGTTTGGTTATGCTAAAATTATAAAAGAAAATAAAGAAAAGGTCCTCCCCTCACCTCAAACTAAACAACCTATAAATGAGACAAAGCCAAAAAAGAACCTACCATAAATGAGACACGTATTGTGAGAA